TATCCAACTAATACTTAAATTAAAAAAATTAAAAATTAATATCTTTATTTAAAATTAATAAAATTAAAAATTTTAAATAAAAAAAATAAAATCAATATTTTTATTTACAGATTTTCTCAAATTTAATAAGTTTCATGGTAGCCAACATCCCTGAAACCCATTATTACCCGCAGATCTCTAAATTCCAATAAATTTGAAGGACAAATCCCACCATCTATTGGTAATCTATTGAATCTATATTGGTTGGATCTTGCTAACAACCAGCTAGTGGGATCAATTCCTGTGTCATATGGAACTGCACCTGGCTTTGACATGTTGGTCCATGCCAAGCATTTGGACGTTACTTGTCTTCCTAACTTTAACTTGTTTTCTTATTTTCTATTTCCTTTTTACTAATATCATCTAAAGTTTTCTCCTTTATCCACAGTCATCTGGAAAATAATTATCTTTCATTCGAAATCCCAGAGCAAATTTTCAGCTCAAACATGGCTCTGGTACATGTGTGAGTTTCACTTTTGTTTTCTTTAATTATATTTTGACTGCACAAGTTACCAAAAAATAAATAAGCAGAGGGCTTAAACCTGGAAATTTTCGGCCACAAACAAATATTGCCTTCTGAATGATAGTGTTTCTGTACCAGAAGCGGCTAGTATTAGCAGCTTGTTTCTAGTTCTTATCTCTTTGAGTATGTTTGGCTTAAAGGAAATGGAGGGGAGGGGAGGAGAGGGGAGGGTAGGGGAAAGGGAGGGGAAAGATGAGTTTTTTATGAGTTTTTTAACCTCTCAAATTGTATTGTTTCAAATATTGCAATCAGATTGGTTAAAAAATTTATGCCTTCCCTCCGCTCCCCTCCATTTCTCTCAAATGTTCTTCTTTTGTTCAGTGGGGTAGCAAATCTACTCTTTTCTTCTTTTCTTCTTCCTTTTCAATTTTCATCAAATCACAAGCTAGATTATTGTATGTTTGAAAGCTCTCATTTCTCCTCTTTCTGCCAGGTCATTTGACAGCAACCTACTCAATGGTCCTATCCCTTCAACCCTTGGGCTTGTGCAATCTTTACAGGTTATGTGAGTGTCTGGATCACATGCTTAAGCAGATTCGAAATGAGATTATTGTTGGAATTGTATTTCTTTGTGGGTGTGACTGAAGAAGTTATTGTTTTGGCTGCAGACGTTTTGATAACAATCATTTAAGTGGGAGTGTTCCGTCAAACCTCAACAATCTCACAAGTCTTCAAGAACTGTAAGCATGCAAAAGATGGAAGATGAGCGGTCTTTGCATTTATTAGTTTATCTTCTCTAATAGAAAATGTTTTGTGAACTTCTTTTCAGGTATTTGTCTAACAATAAGCTCAATGGCCCTTTACCGTCCCTTACTGGCATGAGCAAGCTCAACACCTTGTAAGCAGTGCATGCCTTCTACATAACTAAACTACCCCTTTTTTCTTGGTCTTTTTCTCCACTTCTTATGTGTCTGTAATGCATGCACTTTATGTCTTCAGTTGAAATTGTTATTCACCAGGCCTCCATCAATAACCATATACAGTTGTCATTAATTTTCATTCTAATAATATAATTGTGTTCTGCAGGGACTTGAGTAATAATACCTTCAATACCTCTGTGATTCCTAGATGGGTTTCATCTTTGTCATCCTTAACAACACTGTATGTCCATCTCTCTCTTTTAACATTGTATGAACTATTTTAAATGCAGAACCCAATTACTCCCTTTTAGTCTTTTACTTCATTGAGGGCCATATGTTTTGTTAAACTATTAGCAAGAATATCTTTCTTTCCCCAGTGATATTGTTAGCAGCAATATGATGTGTAAAAAAACTTAATCAGGCTAGTAAATGGTACAATAAATCCATCCCTGAATGTGTTTTCTCCCCCTCTCTCTTTCCTTCCCTCTCTTCCTTGCCTTCTCTCTTTGTTTTCTGCATGTTCATGGACACATGCCCATATGCTTGTATACATACACATTGATGGGTTTCCTTTCAAGTTAAGAGAACAATTGATTTCTTTGCAAGGCAGAAGGATGGAAAATGCTCAACTTCAAGGTGAAGTTCCTGTCGACCTCTTCAGCCTTCCAAATTTGCAGACTGTGTGAGTATCAGCTTCACTTCATGCACTACCATTCCTTGTCCTGGATGTTCCCAACTCTGGTGAAACATATCTTTTCAATTCAAACCATGGAGATGATAGCCGGAGGCTAATTATTTCTATCTTTGTCACATTGTACAGGGGGCTAAAACACAACGGGTTAACTGGCACTTTGTCTATAGGCATGGAATTTAGCAACCAGCTGAGCCTCATAGATTTGCAGTATAATGAGATTACTGATTTCAATGGAACAGAAGGAAACAACATTCAGATAAGGTGAGAGAATCATTTCTTCTGGCTTTTTTTTTTTTCTCCATTAATTTGTTTTTTGCTTAAGAACTTGGCTCTTTTTACTTGGAGGTCAAATTGCCTTTAGATGTATTCTCTTTAAGTGTTAAAGCTTATGAATGTCTTTCTTGGCTCAATAGATTTAATTAATTTATGCAGACTTGCTGGTAATCCCATTTGTGACGAGACAGGAGAAACAAAAACTTTCTGTGTAGTTCCACAATCAAATTCCACTTACTTGTATACTACCCCTCCCAGCAGCTGCCCGCCTGCTACATGTAGTTCAGACCAGGTTTATAGCCCCAGATGCAGATGTGCATATCCATATACAGGAATTCTATTTTTTAGAGGAATTTTATTCTCAAACTTGGAAAACTCAAACATGTATGT